GAACACCTTGGCAGCTAGAGCATCCTGTGCCTCTCGAGCCAGCCGAGCAGAGGTTTCCCACATCCTTTGCGGCTCACAGTGTCCAGCCGCCCAGCAACGTCGTAATGGTGAAAGGATTGACCCCTCCACCATCCAGACGCTGAAGAGCAGCAGGACTCTGTAGAGCCACTTTGACCAGACAAGAAAAAGAGCCAAACATAATCGATACAGATTGCTCTTAATCAGAAACAGTACCTATGTGCAGAGCGAAAGATTTCCCTCTAATCTCCGGCTCTTCCCTTCAATCTTCCTGTGATTCTCAGCGTTACCCGATAAAGAAAAAGCACTGCGGACTTGAAGATGGGAACACCTCAGCACCCATAAGTCCCCGCTAATCCTTTCAGACTTATAGAACGCTTTTCCAAAGCTTCAGCGACGCATAAACTTCGCGAACGGCTAAACCGGTAAGGCAGCAGTGGTCGGCGTCAAAAAATCTTCAAGGAATGTGCAGATGACGAGCGAAGATAGGCGTGAAATTGGAGCAAGTCGATATGGCGAGAATGAGGATCACATGAAGATTTTTTGAAATGTGGCCTTGCTCAGAACAACCCTGTCCAAGTTCGAGAGAACTCTTCTACTGTTCACGTTCCTCATTACCGCAAGCTGGACCACCTAACTCAGTTAGCTAAATGGATCAGCCACGGCTGCAATTACGGTCACGTTTGTCTGTTGGGTGTCTATGCGCTTCGCACCTGCCCCTTCGCTCGCTTCTAACCCTCTTACGACGCCGACCAACGATGATTTCCTTCCACACATACACAAACAATATTTGAATCTACCGACGGCCACCCTTTCGCTCTGCATGTGATAATCGCATCATGCAATTAAGCCCTTATGCACGGGGTCCAAGTTGTTGCAAATCGCCTGATCGCACGACCAACTCTCGTTCATCACTTGAAACGCGGCAGGATAACGACATCGTAGAGATAAATAGCCAACGTTCCCAGAATTGCCCTTTGGGACACACAGTTCCGGGAAGCTATGGATAACATAATACTTACTACTCAAAAAGAAGAAAGCTCGGCACAACAGCCAAGGATGCGCCATGAATTTTACAAGCTTTCTATATGAAGTCAAATTTAATCACAATAATCAATGAAAGTGGCTTTTCTGTGCAGGTGATCTGTGCTAGCAGCTATAATAAATGTGATTTTCGGCTAATAATATTATG